GTGGACAGAGGAGGGCTTGTGATGTGCCAGAGATTTGTCAGCGCTCAGGATGTTTCACATTCATTGACAGTAGTATGCAGAGAATCCAGCTCACACCTGCAAGGCCCTGGATGAAGTACCTCCATGGCTGTATTCTAATACAGTGCTGTGGGCTGCAGAGTCTAATGCCAGTCTACTGGAGCTGGATTCTGGCTTCATCATTTACAGGCATGTGACTGTTGGCACGTCACCCGATTTCTCTGTATCTCAATGATCTCAATACTACGGGAGAACTCACTTTATTGGTGTCAGGTAGGGCTGGATTCCAATTATGCCTATGACTCACCAGATATCTAAGATATAAGACAAATATAGAAATATAAAAGCATTTCATTGTGTAGAACTTTACAAAATTCATATTCCCTATGTTATTTTTTAAAGTTCATTTCTTTAATGAGACTGAGAGAAAGAGAGGAAGAGAGAAACACAAGCAACACCAACAGAATCTCACACCCCAATTGCCCCCACCCCTCCACCAGCCCACCTCACCAGTGAATCAGGGTCATGGGTGCATGCACCTGATGTGTGCATAAGGACAGGGCCATTGAACCTGGAATCTTCCTGATGGATCCAGCATTGCTGAGCAGTTCATTGCTACTGTGTGACCTACCTTACTTAATGCCACTTCAGTAAGTTACTTTCTAACACATCACTCTATTTGCTACTTTGTAGTAAGAAGTAAATAAGATAATTTGTTTAAAGTAGCTGGCTTATAGATGGTGTCTGCTAAATATTTTTCCTACTACTGTCAGACAGTATACAGACAGATACCTGTATAGACCACTAGGCGGCAGCAGAGGAAAGTATACTTGAAAGTCTTTTTTTTTTTTTTCTTTCCCCCTGAAGTTCGATTAGTACAGAAAGGTAATTCAGGTCAGGAATAGTACAGTTTGCTCTTTGTAGGATATTATCTACAGTCCAGGGATCACATTTACAGATTTGTGTCTACCACCCCCAGCTCAAGGAGCCAGTTGTGCAGTGTGTACTCAGCCTGTCACTATCTGTTCTTTATTGATTATTGCTAAATTTCAGTAGACCATTTGGAAGCTAAAGCTGTATCTCTACACCTCATATTTTTGAGGTAGCGAATATCTACCCGGCTTTGCATTCAGAGGCCTTTGGCCATAATACTTCAAAATTTTAGGATTGATGTCATTTCCTTTTGTGCTACAAACCGAATTCAAGACAACATTTAACAATCTGATTTTAATCAGAAGTCAAACTACCAATTTTAATCACATTGTTGTTTACTATTACAATCATGGATTAAATCTTTTAAAATGAAATTGAAGACAGAATAGAGAAAAGAGGCAAAGAGGATGACAGAATGTAAGTGTGGTTCTGCAATTCCGTTTTAGAAGAAGCCGCATAAAATATGTCTAAGCACTGGGTTTATCTTTTGGGAAGGAGACGATTTGGATTATGGTGGAACATGGAGGAGCTGACAAAGTTGAAGTTTGTATCCCACTTGGCCAATAGCATGGTTTGAGTCCTGGACCCAGAGGCCTGAGAAACACACCAGGCACATGTGCATGCATGCCCAAAATTCCAAAAGGAGGAAGAAATAAAGGAGCTCCTTGGAGGGCTTGGTCAACTGCCATAGGGGTTGTTTTCTCGCTTTCTTTTTGTCTCTCTCTCCTATACAAGCACCCTCTGGCAAAAGTTTAAAAAAAAAAAAAGAAGAAGAAAAAAAAAGAATCAAGTCTATATATGCCAAGCCACAGAATTTGAAGTAGTAGCCAAAAGCATTTGATAGCAAAATGTAAGGTACTATTAACACATAATTGATTTTAATTATGTCTTTTATGATTACATAAATCCATTAAGCATGAAAGGGAGGTAGTACATATTCCTAATGGAAAAGTTTTGTCTAACTGGCTGTGAAACAAAAGAATACTCTAAATGTAAACAGAGTGGGGAGGAGAACTGATCATCTGATTTATTTGATTTGAAATGTTTAATACACAATGAAATCCCAAAAATGCGTTGTTATTCTTTTATGTTCATATAGATGCTATAAAACACTTTGAAGTCACAAAGAATACTTATAATCCTTTGCCAGGAAGCTACAGTAGAAAAATCATGATTAAGTGGCTCCAAATATAAACTTTTTATGTCATACTCTGAAGGAGTTTGATGTGGAAAAGTTTTCAGAAGCTAATGGGAAAAGTTTTCTGGTGTTAGGGTATAGACAGCTATTAATCTTCCTTCTGGTGATGGAATGCTAACACTTCATACGTCCTTTGATTACACTGTCAACTGAACATTTCATTGATGAGTCTTTACTGTGGTTTCCCTCCTAAAAACTGACACACTAATTCTGAGTGTATCGTGAAGTGTTCATTTAACTGGTATGTCCCAACACAGAACTTCAAAAATTCTCAAATACCCGGAGTCCAAGAATTTTAGAGTGCAGGAGAACTTAGAGAACAAAATGAGCATGCTTTTCATATTTACGCAGCTCATCTAGTTCAGAGGGAAACTGGAGTCCTAGTTGCCTTTCACAACATACTTCTATATTTGTTTTTAATGTCCTTGTAATGTCATATTACTGGGTATAGAGTTAGCTGACACATTCGAATAGCTTTCCTTGAACACTGAAGAAGAAATTCCACTCTTCACATTCTTTGAAAAGTAGAATGCCCGTAAATATCTTCAGAAAAAGAATCAAATTCAGTGATATTTTTCTTTCAAAATAAATTATTTGGTCTACTGTGATTCTGGAGATGTGTGTGTGTGTGTGTATATGTGTGTGTGTATATATATATGCCTCTGTACATATATATCTATATGTGCGTGTGTATATATATACATATATACATACATATACATATGTATGTGTGTATATATAGGCCTCTGTACATATAAACATAAAGATAAAAGTCTTACTGAATTTAGAGGGGACTTCAAAAATTCTTTTAGCTCAGTTCCTTGCCATCCAGCAAGTAAAGTGTCATTAACCCTATTTTGTAAATGAAACACATAAGGCCCAAGGAGACAAACTGACTTCTCTGAGGTTAAGTAATAAGTAATCAGGCAGGACAGGTCTTCTATCCTAGCAAAGTACTATGCTGTGCCATCTCTCCTTTGGGAAGCTGGATCAGGGAGATTCTAAAAATATTTTGCTCCCTTAAATATTCATTCTCTGGAGTCAGCAGGTGGTGTGGAGGTTAAGGTACTGGATCCCACATGGCTTACTCCACAGTTTGAGTCCCAGACTCAGCAGATTGAAAATCATGAGCATGGGTTCCCAAAGTCCTAAGAAGAGAATGGAGAAGGGATTACAACATAGTCATCCCCGAGGGAATGATTTCTCACTTTCTCTCTCTTTCCATCTCTTTCCAGTGAGTGCACGCACCCTATAGCAAAAAAAAAAAAAAAAAAATCATTTTCTTCTTTCTATTAAGTTGAAAGGCCAATATTTTTATACAAAACGTAGGTTATCATAATTGTATTAAAGTTATTGATGGAATTTAAGCTAGCCAAGTTCTTTGGTCTCCTTGAAAGAGGATCTTGAAAATCAGGTTGAACATTGGCAATTAGTTTGCCCATTGTCTAGTAAGCAATCATTGTTTTGAGGCTGACATGTGACATGGTGGTTAAGGGTGCTAGATTCCCACATTACGGACTGCGGTTCAACTCCAAAACCTGGCAGTTTGCTTTCTTAACAAATAAAAGTTAAGTAAAATAATTCTTTAAATTTCTTTTTTAAAAAAGCAATTGCTTTGACTAAATAAATAAATTAAAGCTCTTCAATTGTTTATTTTGGCCAATGAGCCAGTAGCTTAAATGAACATGGCAAAAACCAGCCAGAAAACACTACATACACACACACACACACACACACACACTCACACACACAGAGTATATGTTTATATATACATGCATGCATATACATGTGTATGGTATATATATCATATGTGTATATCCATGAATTTATATACATGTATACATACCTATTCAGAAATGATGGATAAATGAGAAAACTGTCAAATACTAACGGCTGCATTAGCAAAATGCAGGCAGGTATTATTCCCTTTTGGCATTCTAGAAAATGAATACACACATATAGATTGCAGCGTTGGTTCCCCAAATTGATTTTGAGTGCAAAGGTACAAGCTAATCATGAAAAACACAGACGGTATCCCTTCATCTGGTATCCCTCCTATGGAGCTTTCTAGAATAGGTGGGAAGCTTTCTAGAGTAAACTTTACATGAAGCATCTAGAAATAATGCTCTTAGTAAGGAGTTGCTACACACCGTATTTATGATACTAATGATATGGCACAGTAAGGCGTGATCTTCCTCTGGCTATGGCAGGATCACTGAAGGCCTTCTTGCATCGACTTATCCCTCAGATGTTACCAATTTAAAAAGGGTATCATGTCTACCCAAAAGGACATGGTGTCTTCCCAAAAGGTCAGATATTTAGCTGGAAGAGGAGGTGGTGAAAAGTTCCTGAGTATTACATAGAAGTATAAACAGAGTAAATCAGAAACTAGAGGGAGAGAAAATAGCAATAAAAGATATGATATGCAAAGAGGGGGAAAGTAACATTTACTGACACTTGTTTTATGCAAGGCACTGTGCCGATCATTTTGCTTATATTACCACATTGAATCCTTGCAACAGCCCTGTGAAGTAGCTACTATGTACAGATGACAAAATGGCAGTCAGAAATATTAATTTTCACACAGCTACTAAGTAACAGAACTAAGACACCAATTTTGATGTGACTTCAAATTCCATCTTGTTTTTATTCCAGGCAAAATGATACCCTAGGCATTGCTAGACCATGGGTGAAATTGCAAAGAAAGATTGGTACAGTTAGATCAATTGATTTTGGTTTTACGTTCACAAATATCAGAAGAGAGGCAAAAAGATGAAGAGATTATACTGAAACTCCATCATCATAAGTTCAAATATCTGTTAAACAACCTGGATTATGAAAGTCGCTATAATTAAGGCTTTAATTCAATACCTTCTGATTTGTCTTCTTCATTAACCTCATCCATTCTGTCTCCTAGGAACCTATACTGACTTTGCGAGTCATCACCCATGCATACAATGGGTGCTGAAATATCTCTCCAGTCCTGACATGAAGGAATACGGACATGTTTGACATCTTCATCCCCGGGAATGAAGCCAAATAGTTTCTTTATGCGCTGTGTGATGAGGAGCCGGCAGTGCTGCTCTGCAGCTTGCTCAAAGAGCTCCCTCTCGTTGCGGAGCTGATTGGTCCAGTAGTTGTACTGCAGGGAGTTGAGAGGACAGCAGCACCTCGCCAAACAGCAGTAGACCAGGGCAGCAATGGTTGCCAAGGTGATCAAAATCCAGCCCAACATCTTCACATAATCATTACAAAGAAAAACAGAAAGCATCAATATATTTAGTATTCAAGTAGCAGCCATGGTAGGGAGGACTTCTGCAGAATTATGAACTGAAATGTGAGTAAGAAATGTGTTTTTTGCGCTGTTTAATATGTTAACAAAGGGCCTATTGTGGACATAGATCTGATAGAGAGTGTAGGCTGAGCCACTTCGACTTGGTTTTCAAGTTACAAAGGAATTGGACCAGTTAACTTGAAATAGATTCTAAATGCTGTCCTTGAAGTGAGAGATGCTATAACCCACCGATTTACCTTACATAAGATACATAAACTGTGTTCTTTGCTTTTAGCTCAACCTCACTTCTTACCCCTCAGGTTAAGGCCTATGCATTTTGGGGACACTTAATAAATATTTGATAATGATAGTGATGCAAATGATATGATAGATAATAATGGAGGCCTCCAAAGGTGTCTTTAATGAAGTGCCAACAAGTATTTATTGATATTTCTTCACAAGTTGTTTTCTCCTCTTCTCTTTTGCAGTCAAAGAGGAAGGTCCGTGAGCCAACTTAGGTCTGTGAATGTACCACTGGTAGCATGGTCACTGTGCTTTGTAATACCTTATTGCCTTAACTTCATTTCCCTCTCTTTCAAATAGTCATTTGCTAACCAGCTTTATTATGTATCTTAGAAGCATACTTTGAAAGGAACATAAACTCATTTTTATTTGAGACTAGCTTACATTTCCCTCCCTCTCCAGTAGTCATTTGCTGTCTAGTTTTATTATGTATCTTTAAAATACAGATTGAAAGGAAAATGAGCTAGCTTTTGTTTGAGACAATTTAGTGTCTGCTTTTAAAAACTGACATAAACGGTTGTTTTTGATTCTTAGAATTTTAAAATGTTTATTCTTCTTCCTCCCTCCCCTCATGTATAGTAGTAGTTACATAAAACAGAAAAGGCAAGCTCCACACACTGAAGACAATTGTATACAACCACCATTTGGAGACTGAAGGTCTCTCATGCATCTTGTGATTCACTTACATGTCTTGAGTTACCAGTGTGTGCACAGTGGGATTGCTGTTCTCTGTAGAAGTTAAAACTTACAAATGATACTTGTTACATTTAATTTAATAGAGATCAGCAAGGTGGGAATAATTTTTAAAAATCTCAGATGCCTACTAATTCATTAACTATTATTATTTATTGATCACATTGGCCTCCACCTTGTCCTATACATGATGCTTAGTTTAAGTGTGAATAATTTGCCATATTCTGCCACATTCATTCTCTTTTTGAGCCTGAAGAGGCAGACAAGTAAGCAAGCCATGACCTATGTGCATAACGTGATAATTTTTCATTTGGGTAAACACAGCATCTGAGGAAGCACACATGGAGGAGAAATTAACTCATTTAAGGGAGAGGAGTTTCAAAGAATACTTCCAGGGAAGGTGATGCTCACTTAAATTAATAAACAAGTTCACCAGATGCAGTAATGTGATGAAAGTTCTATGAAGGGAAGACGACAGAAAAATAATCATGAAGAGCTAGAAGAAACAAGAAATTTGTGTTCTCCGGGTCATAGAATAATATGGAAAAGTAGTCAGGGGCCAGATATTGAAGCACCTTGTATGTCATGTCAAGAAATTTGGATTTGGGTCAGCCCATGGCCTTGTGGTTAAGGGAACCACATAGTTTGAAGCCTTGCTCCAGCTGCTTGAAAAACATACCAGATGTATGGTGTGCATTCGGAATCCCAACAGAATGGAGAAATGGAGAAGAGATTGTAGCATGACTACACCCCATGGTGGGGGTGCTTTCTCCCTCTCCCTCTCTGCCTCTCTCTCTCTGGCAATTTAAAACAGAATAAAACAAAATTTGCATTTGTGCTTAGACTGGTAGAAAGTCATTGAAGAACATATGGAGAAGAGGAGGGTTAGAGCTCACCATCAAATTTGCATTTAGAAAGATACTGTTGGTGTGTGATTATAGAAGAGCTATTGAAATGGTGTGAAATTAATGTCAGGAAAATATTTTAGAATGGGGCATGAGGAAAGAAGGAATTTTAACTTAATGTAATCTTGCAGTCAACCAGAAAAACCCAGCTGAAAAACAATACATGAGATTGAAGTTCAAGTTAGTTGCAGAAGGTGGCCTGGAAATGGAAATGGCATGCCCTTGGAGATCTTGCTCAGCTGTTTATTAGCTTTGTGAATTTATACAAGTTAAATAAACTCTTTGACCTTTGGCTTAATTGTCTGTAACCTGGAGTTAATAATATCTGTCTCTCAATGATATGAGAATTAGAGTTAAGATATAAAATATTTATATAGAATATGACAAACCTCTCAATAAATAAAAGGTTTTCTTGTCACAAAAACAGTACGCTCCCTTATGATAGTACTTAGAACTGCCAAATTGTCTTTTCACATAATTATGTATGAGTATTATAAAGACATTTATACTTTCAGAAAATCTCCATTAAATTTTGACAGTTTTTCTTAAGCAAGAATATTTTTGAAAGTTATAGTTATCCCACTGATTCTTTTTTTTTTTTTCAACATATCTTCAAATAGCCTCTCTATAGCCTCTCTGCCCGAAAGGTTATTTTATGGCTAGTATGAAAGACAGTTGAGACAAAATATAATTTTATGGGATTTCTAAATTTTCTTAAACCAGGTCATATTGGGACCAGCAGTTAGCATAATGGCTATGTTGCTGGACTCCCATGTAGTCGACCGCAGTTCGCGTCCCGAACTGGGTGGCTTAAAACCCCCACTGGACGTGTGTGCATGCGTGCCCAAGATCCTGAGAGGAGAATGGAGGAGAAGGGATTGCGGCGTGGCCACCCCCCATGGGGGGTGATTTCTCACTTTTTGTCTCTCTGATGAGTGCGCATACCCTATAGCAAAAATCTCTGAAAAACAAACAAACAAACAAACAAACATGATTTTACTGTATTTCAGTGGTTTGAAATGTGTTTTTTCCTCAGATTCCTTAGAGAAACAAAGATGAGAACCAATGGCTCTTTCTCTATTGACAAAATGTACAATCGTACTGCTAACATTTAGCTTTAAGTGTAGTAGGTTCAAGCTTTCCCCCAGCCTGACTCGACTCTTTCACATAAAATTGTCTAGGGACACTAAGTTTAGAAACATCATTGGAGATTTTAAATCCTAATTAAGCTCTCTGTAATTTTAGAAGAGATTTCAATATATAAGGATGCATAGTTAAGTATATACAAATGTATATATGCAGGAAGATGGGGTTTAGTAATATAGTAATGATAATATTCATAACAATATCTAAATTCATTATTTTTATATAGATTCTAGTAACAGTACTAAGCACTTTAGATATATTAGCTCACTTATTTCTCACAACAAACTGCAGTAGATACTGTTTATATCCTCAGTTTACAGCTGAGGAAAGTGAAGCGTATATAAGGTGCCTTACTGAAGGTTTTGCAGGTCAATAAGTGGCAAGGGAAGACTCAAACCTAAGCCCATTTATTCCAAACCCAACACCCTAACTGTTATTTCTTAGCTTCTCAGTAGGACTCCCTTTGGTGTATGGCATTTAGTTTGTTTTCTATAATCAAACAATAT